GTCATCGAGAAGTGTAATAAAATGAAGTGTTTCCAAGATGGGGTAAACTTTGCCCGTTTGCGGCGAACCTTAGTCGAGCCGGGTAACTTTTGAATGACATGTGGTTGGAAGTAACCTGGGCTCCCGTAGAATATTGCCGAGAGGATGGCATCTGACTAATGTTATTGTAGAGCGGCGAACTTAAAATGTTCCGTCTTGAGACTACATTTTCAGGAATAAAATTACCAGAGCATTATGTTCTCTTCACTCGCAACCATATTTAACCGTTTTGCTTTTTAGAACTACCTTTAATTCAATAGCTAATTCTCCTTTATTTATATACAATAAAAGAAACTCGTGTTAGTTACACCATTTATAATTCGAGCATTGCTGAACTGATTTTTATAAATTTATTTTAAAATCCTAAATCTTCTCATTTATTGACTGTTAATCGGAACAAAGTTCGCCGGACCGCTAATTTAAAATATATGTCTATACTTGGATCTTTTATGATATCAAAGGAAATTAGATTATCATTCTATCGGTCCTATCTCAAAATGCCAGGTACAAAGTGGATTTTTAATCATTTTTCATTAAGCAGAAAAAAATAATTTTGAATTTTATTTTTATTATAAATATTTCTGATTAATAATATGTGTCCTTAAACGCTGTAGGGTGGATAATCACGATTTAATTATTTCTGAATTCCTATATTCTAATTTGTTATTTTGATGAATGTTATTTATTTATATCTCAGAGTGCTAGGGTTGGGAGAGCCACGCTTCGGCATGAATGGGCCGGCTCGACCGGAGTGATACCACGGCCTCATAGAAAACCGACATGAAGCAACGCGTGCGTTGTGTTTCGTCGTGTGAGTGAGGGTACCGGAGGCGCAACCCCTCCCTATTCCCTTCCCTCTACCCTTCAACCCTTCCCTCCTTATGATCATATTTGTCCCTCAAAGACCGGCAGCGCGCTTGTAGCCCCTCTGGTATTGCAGGTGTCCATGGGCGACGGCAATCACTTACTATCAGGTGATCCGTCTGCTCGTCTGCCCCCTATCCCATAAAAAAAGAATGGATTTTTTAAACATTTTTCATTAAGAATATTTTTCAGTATAGCATTGTGAAAGAAATACAAGAAATACAATAATCATTAATTATGGATTAGGTTTTAGTTTTCATAATATTGATCAAAACTTTTTAATTTGCTAGTCATAAAAAGTAGTAGAACATTTAACCTTAATGTAAAATATTTGAAATAATATTTGGCATAGGCTTCGAAAGCTGTAACTTATGATCCACAGATTTCATAAAGAAACATGCCAAAGTCACAATTAAATTCTTGTCACCATCAATGTAAAAATATACAAAAAGAGTTTTGCTTTCTAGATAATAATGATAATTAAAAGGACGTCAGAACGTTTCTATTTAACTAAGCAAGCGTTAATGATTTTAAGCCCTAAGGAATCCTTTAAATTTGAAAATTTGTAAAGGTAATGTCGCCTTTAATTTTAATGGATGTTTGAGTTACGGGCTGTAAATATTTTAGATTATATAGTGAGCTACAAAAAAAGTAAGTAGATACTGCAAAAAATAATGTTGTTAAAATTAATAATACCTTTCACGATCGTTAAAGGCTCTTAGCGTGTCATAAGTCATAAGAACCCGCGAGCATGTATAAAAAGGAGAAGAGGTGAAAGATGTATGTATGGACCGTGCCTTATGGACGTTCTTTCTGTATACCCGCAAGATATACAGAAAGAAGAATGCGCGAAGATATAGAAAGGTAGATGGAAAATTAATTACTTAATCAAAACAAAAAATTCTGCCACCGCTCATGCAAAGATATAATCATAATTAAACAGATTCTGTTGAATTAATTTAAACTTTATTAATTGAGTCAGAGTTTCTAAACTAAACTCTAAGCTGCGTTTGCACCGTATGTTTTATGCACATAAATAAGCCGAGATTAAGCGGCAGTGGTCAGCCGCAGTTAGCTATGGCCCTCTAATGAAAAATGTTAAGCGAATACTGTTGGTTTCAAGCACATTTGCATTTTCACCTAAATCTCAATTAAATCATTTCATATTCAGACACTTTTGAGTTTTGTTTATGAGTTGTAAAATATATCAAAAAACATCTCATATAATGACTTATCTGCGTTTGAAATCTATAACTGCTTTATATTTATGTATATGAAACGGTGTTTTAATACACCTTATACCCATTCTACCTTCCACAAACTGTATTAAATCATATTAGATATATCCCATCTTATTCCCGTATCATAGTGTCAGAGACAAAGTGGATTTGTGTTTTTCATTAAGAATGTTTTTCAATATAGCATTGTGAATGTAAAGTTTATCTAATATAATATAATATTATATATATATTTATATATATTTAACAATTTAGTGAAGGTAATTTGGATATTCACAGAATCAATAAATTTGTAATAATAATAGATTAGAAAACTTTTATTTTTTATTTACGAAATTATTCTGAAGTTATTGGTATATATTAAAAAGATCACTGCAAAAATGAACCAACATGGATTGATATTTTTGTGTCAGTGTAGTATAAGACCATGACAAAAACGCTATAAAAAGAAATGCTATTATTACAATGGTGTTCTGATAATATTTTTAGTTTCTTCGATACGAATTAATGTGAATAAAATACTTTCAGGGTGACATTAAGGAAACAAGTATTAAGTCTTAAGTATAAGTTCAGTTTGTACAGGACAGGACTAATGCGATGAATACATCGAATTTCGATAAATGCCTTCAGCGGAACGCTTAGGAATGTGAACTTGAATGAAAGCATTCGCTTTTTGAATATACTTAAGCTTAGTGTACACATTGTAATATATTAAACTTCTTTTTGGTTTAAGTTTGTTAGTAATAGTTTTTTTATCATAGAAATACTTCAGAGCTGTGCCAACTGTTACCTGTCTCGTTCACTTACTTAATGGTGGTAGGTACTGAACTTATACTGTGATCATACATAAATTCAAATTTGTCGCCGCTTACAATTATTTAAATGGACTTCTACTAGATATTAATGACTTGGTCTATAAACGTGGCTTTCGTTCTAATTATCGCATAGCATTATGAATACAAAATCAATTAATTATAAAAATTAGAACAAATTTTCATATTAATCCAAAGTTAATGTGTAAAAATATTTCATTCGGCTGTTAAGTAGATTGCCTGAATATTAATGAAACTAACCTAGTAGCGGAAAGCAACAAGTGCTTGAAAAATTCGTCAGTCCTGTTAGGTCTCGAGTAGCTCAGTAGTTAGAACAGTCGCCCGGATAAAGAAAGATCATGGATTCGAGTCCCATGTCAGGAATACCTCGGACTGGTGGATTCCTTAAGCATTTTTCATTAAGAATATTTACCAATATAGCAATATGAATGTAGATATATAAAATACTATAGGTATTATATTAAAGCATATTTTAATATAATACCTACAGTATATTAATAGTTTACGTGTATCTGAGCCTACAAGCTCTGTATTTTTGACACTCAAACGTGGACAAATTCGTCAGCTATCCCACTCTAACGTATATTAATTGCAGTAAAATAAAGGCGCTAGCGCTATAAGTTTTGCGATACATCGGTTATTGTTTTAAACACGTCCCCTTAACCCGAAAATATTCGTCAACAGTTTTTAGTACATTGTGTTCTAGTCTTAAGGTGCCTATAGACACCCCCCACTTTACAAGCCCCTACTTCACGCCCGGCGCCCCAAGCTCTTTATTGTCATGCTGATCTTTTGTCGGCATCCGATAAATTGAAATGTATAAATTCGGCAAATAGACGCCTAGCGGGGAAAGGTGAAAGGGTCATGTCAAAGTTTTTATTGGAAAAAGGCGTGAATACTACGGCCTTTGACAAAACGGAAGTCTTTTAAAACAATACTAAATTTTTAACACTGACTGTCAAGTTAAATTGTGGAATTTCAGTTAATTCTTATTGTCCCTTTATGTAATGGCTTCCATTCCTTTCCATTTCCATAGTTAGCAATGGGTTTAATAAAATATGCAATTAAAATTGTTTAATACTGCACGGTAAAGTTTTTGACAAATCTATCTATCACCGACTCCAAAATCAATAAAGCTTGTTTTATTTATAAAGAAGGAAAATGATTACATCTATTTTATTAACATGCAATATTAATAACATTATATTTCAAAAAGTCTAAAAATAAATTGATAATTACAATAACATTTGCGTACCAACAGTTTGAAATGCAATTTTGGTATGCAACTATCGTAATGCATTTGTAATCCAACTGATGAATTACAAATACTATACCAATTCATTTCATATCAACCATAAGCGAGTAATTTAAAAGTTCATAATAAAATAATTATCCAAGCAATCCGTGTAAACATCAAATATCATAATCGAATTAATCACCAATAGCGTAGCTTTTGTTTTTAAAAGCTGCGAACTCAAAAACACTTACAAAGTATTCATAAATCGAACTGCCATATTTTCATTTTTAATATTTTTTACTCGTTATTCGGCTCGAGCTTTAAACTCGTTCGAAGCGGAACACTGAAAATTTGAATTTCGAATGGTTATTATACTCCGGTTTATCATCTTTCATTTGTTACCGGAGTAAGAAACCTAGATTTAATATTCACATTTACTCACCACTGTACACCACGAATTTCACAATTTAATAATTTCGTTGTGAAAATTACGTTAAACCTGTTAGCATAGCTTTCATTTCGTCCCTCTTACGTGCTATTTCAACGCTAACCCGTACCACATTAAATTCATTTAATTAAAGAACTAGTTACATACACTTAAGAGTGCACAACCCGACATTCCGTTGCTTCGTCAGACTTTTATTAAAAGTGCAAATAAAATCATCCTTTTTTTCATTGACAACACATACCCATATGGTGAAAAGAGTGACAAGTAAAACACTTGGGAGTGAACTTCACAGCCGAGTTGATGTTTCGTGAGCATATCATCGTTTGTGAAAAGAGGTCTTTTCATAAACGTTCCGCATGAAACTTAATGTTGTCTCGTATTGGAGCGAATACAGAATAGATTCACGAAATATTTGTACTTGCGATTGTATGGGGTATATCCATTTTATCCTTTGATCTATCCTACCTTATTTGTTAAAAGTATGGTGGGATATGACGAATTAAGAGTGCAATGGGAAGTAGCCTTGTATTTGTTTAATGTAATTAGAGGAAAAATTATAAACATGCGAATATTGGGTATGATAGAGTTTAGTGTCCCAGACAGATACGTTGAGCGGCGGTGTCGACCGTGTCTGCTGACTCCGCTGGCGAGTGCACTGAGCACCCCCAAACATATAGCCGAGAAAATCGACCTTTTCTCATGTTCGGTGAGTGAATTCATAAAAATAACATATGATACGTGTTATTATTTATTATTTAAAAAAAACAGTTACTCTATTGTATTGGGTAGCACCTGTAAAAATAGATGTAAAAATGGTCACTAAATAAATGAATAAAATTCATATAGCATAATCTCGTTCAGCAAGTCATGTAATTCAAATAACGGTAAATACCCAAAACTGCGATGCGTCGTCAAATTGCACACAACGCATCGGAAAAACTTTCGAAATGTGTGATACATTTGTATGAGATTTATTGATTCAGTTTGCTTTCAGGCAAAATGTGTGAGCAATACGTGTGAATATATTATTTAATCATAAAAAATGAGTTTTTTAAAAGCAACCAAGCAAACGTAAATAAATAAATTCTAAACATTTAAAGTACTTATTAATGATACTACATTAAAAAAGGTTAGATAGATAGCTAACTGACACCATAAAATTGCACTGTGATGAGAAGTGGGTCAAATTTGAATTCCAAGTTTGGCGTACTAACTAACATACTAACAAGGTGAGTTAAATAAAAGCTTGTTAATAAAGAAAAGATCATTAAAAAACTATTACTTCTAAAAAAGCTTTACGATACACATAATTATCATAATTACGTTGTATAATTCTATTCTGTTAAAAATATATTAGGGATCCGGGAACCAGCACGTGTGCCATCCCCACTTCTGAGCCCCGAGCCCTACTCTTGCGGCCTGGGAAAAGATTAGGGTACCTGACATCTTTTTCCCCAAACCGTGAAAATTACAATAATTACACTATCACTTTAATGTAAAAGTGATAGAGAAATTCTTGTAATTTAGCCTGTTTTTTTCTTTATTTAAACTAAAGAATAATTTAAACTGTATCATGAATAGTGGACCATATCGTATTGCTACGAGAGAAGAAATCATAATTTCGCAAACTATACATGTATTTTTATTACAGATTCTGCTGTTTAAGAACATTCTAACTCAGCTGGAGCAGATTAAATTTCGAGATGTGAATTAATTAAGTCACCTAATTGATTTATTGCCAGAGTTTAAGTGGAAAGCACCATATACAGGTTTAATATGTATTTAATGAGCTCCCAACAACCGCGTTCATTACGTTAATTTCATATTAATAGATTATTTAAAAGGCACTGATTAAACACAAAACAATGTTTGTTGCATTTGATTTATTTAACACAGATTCGAGATTAGAAACAGAACTTTAATATAGCACAATATTTTCTTAATAGCGAAATTATTTATATACACTAATGGTTTTTTAATTTATATAAATAAGGTACAATTATATTTTTATTTACATTATGTAACATATTTTACTTCCTGACACACGTTACTAGAAAGACGTTTATAATGAAAATCCCGATCCAGGTGAATATAATTTAAAAAATATTCCATGAATATCAATTGCTACAATTTCGTTAATATCAAGTATTATGTTTTTTTTATTTAGATAACAATGTAATTATAATTATTGACTTTACACATTTTGCATTATTTTAAGTTACCCGTTAATTTAATTTAAACTGCATCCTTACTGTGAATGATATGATTATCTCTATCTGTCTCTGTGCATGCATGCCTGCCTGTGTCTGTGTCTCTGTGTGTGAGTCCTTTAATTTTACAAATGATAATTGAAGATGATTTTGAGTGAGGCATCTTTTGATACTTAGAGACTAACTTAATGGTTAATGGGAACAGAACCGGATAAACAAGAACGGATTTATAGAAATTATATTGTGTCTAAATATACACAATATAATTTATATTGTATATTGTGTCTAATATTGTGTCTAAATATACACAATATAATTTGTATAAAAGGGTTTGTTGAGTAGAAAACGTACCATAACGTGACGTCATGCAAAATTTCAACTCCCTGTAACGATAAAAATAAAAAAATACATGTTGAATATTTTTTTACACTCTACCTGACGGACAACCCAACAAAAATTAGTCATCATCCCTATTAAGTCAAAAACAAATATTATGAAATCACATGCGCCAAGTGGAGATTTGATAGTATTAACCACTGCAGAAATAGCCAAAATCAACGGCTTGACGGTTTCCGAAAAGTATTACGCTCACCCATCCTAATAACGGATTTTCAAAAAGTTGCTTAACCTCCGCACAACAAACACGCTACTACTACACCGTCGACCCCCATAAATAGTATATAAATTATAATGAACCATAAACAGACTTAACTAAAGGTAGGCAATTAAACGATCGTCAAACTCGCGCAACTTAATAATAAGCCTCTAAAACAGCATAAAACCCAACCTGTCCCAAAGTAGATTATACTTTGGTTACCCCAATGGTTGGGGCTCTAATCTTTGTCCCTTTATTATTTACCTCAAGCTTTTATAGAAAACTAGTTACGTACCTCATATCGGGTGTTTAGATAGAGTTGGCTCTTTTTATGTTTTATTCTTTTTTAATTTTATATATTGTTGATTTCTTATATTTTCACGCGCACTATACATAAATGAGACAACTTTTAAACAGTTTAACAACCCAAAAATACTTGTGGTTGAACAATAATTCATTTCTAGAATGATACGCGAAGTTATTGAAATTAAAAAACATCCGAATTTTAATAGAGATAAAGGTTGATATATACCATCGGCTTCGAATTCAGTAATTAGTCAAAAAAAATCTCGACTCAGATCACACATTGCAAAACCAAAAGATATATCTAATTCATTCTGTAAATATGAAATTAAAGGGAGCAGTTCACTTTTTTTGTCGGAGTTTGTTTCACCAGTTCTTCTCAGACAAGACTCCTAAAGTTGGAAGTGGTGGTAGTATATAGTAGCTAGGGGTAAAAAAATAAGTCAAATGTATTTTTTAAATAACTTATTAACTGTAAACGTTGCCATAACATATATTTTTTTATATTGTAAATGTATTGAATTGGTTTTTTGAAAGTAAATTTACTTTTAATTAAAAAAGACAATCTACACCTTAGTCTTATGTGAACACGGCTCCTGTAAAGGGCTTCTGAAACTAAATACAAACGCGATGAAACCGTTCAAAAGTTACTCTAATACTGCGACAACGCTTTGTCTTTAACAGAATAGCATAGCAGGAGTCACACTAAATAAATATTGGACTTTCTATGTTGCAACATAATTTCATCATATCTTTCAAATTTCAAGAACAAAAATTTATTAAAAAACAAATAGATAACATCACATTTTTTGCTCCGATGCCAAATTAAAGAGCAGGACTGTCAAGGCATAGCCTTCCGATTAATTAAAAACCACTCAAAAAGATAAAAAAAGGTTTTATTTAATTGAAGCTCTTGGTACAAACAACTTTGTGGGTTGAGTCTCCTGGATTACGGCTTCACAGGTCTCATCTCTCATCAGAGGGTACACCGTAGGGGCTTCGACTCTATTACGGTTTCACAGGTCTCATCCCTACGCCGTATACCGTAGGGGTTTTAGTGGGTTGGTCTCTAGTAACGGAGGAGAGCTTCAAGTATCTCTGCAACGAATAAATAAATGAAAACACAACTGCTAAGTACGAACTAATAAGTAAAGAAACATGTATGATTATGGCTTGAATGTGGAACGTTTGTAATCTAAGAGGTCACCCGATTGCAATGATTTTTTTTAATAGCCAAGCCATACTACAAATTGTTTATTTTATTTTAAGTTTGATTTTGACAGTCCTGTATATTAAATTATTTATTTTATTACGTTTAGTGAGCTGTTAAATGTATACTAATTATATATTTTTGTGTTTATCAAGACTTTTGAATTTGATATCCATATTGCTACAATAAAAATCTTAAAAATAAAAGTCTTACAAACATTAACCTTAACACAATACACTCCTTTTTTGGGCTGAAGTGTCAACAAAAAAGTCCTGGGGCTCTATTTTTGAATCATTCGTCTCGCGTCGAGCGCTCGTTTTCTACTGATTTTCGTTCGACTTAACAAATTCGCCATTTCTAAATCGCTCGACTGCAACGAGTGGTATGAACCACTCGTCGCTTAGCGAACGTTGTATGCGAGTGATAGAAGAAAACGAGCGCTCGACGCGAGACGAATGATTCAAAAATAGAGCCCCTGCATCGTGGCGTCGTCAAGGCTATCATTTAAGAGAATAGCATATCTGGCAAATTTCGTTTCATTTGATAGTAACATCAGCATGTTATTTGCATAATATTTAGCCAAATACATTTTATTAGCACCGTTTTAGTGGCACACCGCAAACGCCACGAAGTCACAAGCTCATATTAGCATAGCGTTAGTAAATCCGCTGGTTTCGGCCACACGTTTTATTTGCATAACTACTAGCGTTATTTCCGCTGCACGTTCCCACTGTTTGCATTTATATTAATAATTCTCCGGATTATTTCTGACTTCGGAAGACCGCTTTAACGGAATATATAAGATATTTTTACGCTACCAAACGTAGTACTTTGTCATCATCAGCCCTTTTACGTTCCCTCTGCAGGGGCTCAGACTTTCCTTATAGATGTTATCCATCCCGTGACTGACATTTGCAAAAGTTGTTACTTATACTTTCTACCCGCGAATGGGCCATGACCCTCCACGGGCCCAGTGCAAATTGGTGAGACGGCTTAATTGCCTTCTGAAGCACCGAAGTGGTCAATATAATAAATTCCTACGACTGCCCTTTGCAAAAGTTGCTTAGAGCGGCTTAGATGGAATGCGGTAACCACTGCGCTATCGAGCTCAAAATTTCCAGAATCGCTGATATAATAATAATAAAATACTCTTTACTACCAAAGAAGTTAGACAAGGGAGTATACAAATGGCGGCCATATTATTCAGTAGCAATAATTTCTAGACAACCCATGACGTAACAAAAATAGAAATAAATAAAGGTCAGGGGTTGCAAACAGGTATTTACTCATTTTCATTCATAGCCCAAAAAACTAAGTGCAGAAAAGGCAAACTTCCATACATATTAGAAATATCCATGCCAATATTACAACCGTTCTTGTTCTAAAGATCTCTTACAAAAAAGCAACCATAAATATCTGTTTCCAATTCCAAGAAACAGTAAGTAGTTCACAGTTAAAAAATATTACATCCAAACCATTCTTACATCGAAATGCTGTATAAAGCTGTGTAAAATAAAGAAAAACCAACTTCATAAAAAGGAAGAAAAATAACCATGTAATGTAAAGAAAAGATCAAAACTGTTTTGATTTGGGGCGCGATCAAGTGTCTTACTACGGAATCCTGTAATGCGATTCAATTTTTAAAACGAGATAGCGTTATACACACTCACCTCATGCGTTTCATTTTAACACTGTCAAAATCGCAATGTAGCCCCGGAATTGATAAATAACGAACCGAAAAATCAAAT